GGTGTGTATTGACATGTGTCCATACATGTGATATTATTAATAAGCTAATTAAGCTGATGTATAAATTAGATCGACATGTATGTCAATAGGACAGCCAGTACAGCAACCAGGATTTTATAAATTTTAGTGCTTAATGTTAATATAAATATTTTATTGTATCTCAAAGCAATACTTTATGCATACCTGTAGCAACACATGCTTTGATAGGATTGAGGAAACATGTTAGAATAGCATTCAGCATATTGAGTGTCAGAGTAATAATAGTAAGTGAAACGGAAACTTCTGTCAAACCTCACTTGCCATGCTGAGCAAGGACAAGGAATTGCAAAAGATGATGAAATTTCTGGAAGTTCTAAATCATTTCTATATCTCTCTAGACAAATGGCCACATTGGGATCTACAAAAAATAATAGCAAGCATATAAGGTAAAGCATAAACTGACCTTTCTCATCAGATTGGAATGAGTATACAATATTAGTGTAGTTTGCTGGTTGATTCATATCATCATAGCAACCTAATTTCAATAGTTCTCCAGGTATTCCTGATCCACGATGATTCTCATAGCGTCCTCCAGCAATATTATACCCAACAACAGACCTTGAGTAGTAATTGTCCCACATTATATCACCACACTTGTATGTGTATATGATATGAGTATCAGAACCATCTGTTGTAAGAATAGCTTGAAATGTGTTCTGCTAAATGTACAAAATATAAAATTAAAATGAAGTAATGTTTCTCACTCTATCACGAACTGAATTTTGGCCATTGTATAAGTATCCAAAATGGTAAGGATGCATTTCTCTCCACTCCATAACTAGCATCCATATTCCTTTGTATGATGTGATATTTTTACTTGTTTTAATGAAACTGTTAACATCATTGAATACATCATTAGCTAATGGGTTGTTTGAACTGAAGGTCTGATATGAAACACTTCCTACAACATTATATTTATGTAAAATCTGCCAGAATGTCATTTGGGTCATCACTGATTAATACAAGTGTATGACTACAGGTAAACTATCAGTGCCTCATTTATTCAGTGTTAAATAATAGAAAGACTTAATTAGCTCTTGTTAATAGCATACACATACATGTACATGTACCTTCTCTCCTGATGTCATAAAAGTTCCACATAGGAGCAAACACAACCGAATCTCTTATACCACGTATACTACTTGGAAATAATCTTGAATAAAAATACGTAAAACGACCACTCATGGAAAATGTGCCACTAATGGAAATCTAGAAAACCAATAATAAACATAGTCACACACGTATTAGTGATTATTTAAACTCACATAAACTGATGAATAAACAGAGCCTAGTAAATTAATAGGTCTTGGAGCATTGACTTTTTGAGTAGAACTTATATTAGTAACTTTCGATATACTGTTGTTAAATACAACATATGGAAGAATAACTTGAGGAACTAGAAATGAATTAAATATTTATGGAATTAAAATAAACTACAAACAAAATATTTTTATTCATCATTATAGAACTTACTATAACAAATAATTCCATCTCCAGTGTATCCACTAGGACAAGGTGGGCAAATGACACCAGTTCCAGGAGCTGGTACATCAGTACATGTAGCATTATTGAAACATGATACTTCAGTACAACCATCAAAATCATCCTCACAATATTCTCCTTCATATGCTATTGGATTAAAATGAGTAATTAATGATGAAACATTTTCTAAACAAATTTTAAAAAATTAGCACACACCCTTTGCTTAAGAAGTATGACAAAATTGCATGTTGATTCATATAGACTTACATGTATACATGTAATTACTTACCTTCCATGCAGTCACACTTTAGAGTCAATGGATTACTGACGTGACTAATACCTTTTTGAGTACAATTACTTCTTTCAAGTGGACAACCACAAATTATCACCTGATAAGAAAACAACATAAACATAATATCATAAAGTAAGACAGAAAATGCCATATACATTGATTTTATTATTTACACATGCATGTAAATGTACAAAGAAAGTCTTTGGCAAAACAATGGATGAACAATGCTTATTCAATTTGCATAATAGAAGAAAACAACTTGTAAACATAAATGGAGATTGGGTTTTAAATTCATTATACAATATATAGAGAATGATGCACAACTGCAGGGAAATGCAGATGTACTATTATAAGCCACACATACTTGTGGTGTTTTAGCTGTTGTTGCATTGAATGAGTCAGTAGCTATCACAGTAAAATTGAACTCCACTAAAGAAGACAGTGTTACATTAAGTGTCCATATTGATCCATTTTGATCAAGTGTGTATGGAAACTCTCCATCAAATTCAATAGTAACACTGATAGTGTCTCCAGGGTCTGTGATATGTAGTGTGTATAATGCTGTCTCTCCTACTGTTATCATAAAAGTATCACTAGCCTCAATGACTGGTGGAGTATTTACAACTATGCAAAATAAAAAAAATTGCTTAATGATCATGTTTTGAAATATTACACAAAGTAAAATGTATTACATTGTGCAAGAGATAAACTCAAATTTATATTACTTGTAACATTCACTGTAGTGCTTATGACTCTCCTCTCAACTAGGTAATTGACAGCTTGACAAGTATAATTTCTTTGTGAAGTGAAGGATACAGGTACAGTGAGGATAGTAGTAACAGTATCTGACTGGCTGCTACTGGTATACTGATCAGAAGGTATAACCATACCATCCTTAAACCAAGTGATATTTGGTAAAGGAACACCACCAAATGAGCACTTTAGTGTAATAGATTTGCTGTATGCTACTAATACACTGTTTGGTGGGGTAGTAATGAAGTATGGAGGCTCTAAAAAGGTGATACAAAAACATACAAATATAAAATTTAACATTAAAGCACAAACTTTGTACATTAACACTGATTGCAACCACTGAAGTTCCAAAAATATTAGCTGCATTACAATGATATGAACCAGATAATGAGGTAGTTATGTTAGTAATATTCAGTTTTGTTGATCCCTCGGTTATGAGAAACAGTGAACTATTAGTGATGATTGATCCATTGAATGACCATTGGATTGTAGCTACTGAGCTCCCAGCTTCATGTAGTACACATCTCAATGACACATTTGAACCACTCAATGTAGCCACATATGATATAGGAGCAGAAATGTTTGGTGCCACTAAAAATAAAATTTTAATGACATTGACTGCATATAAATGTCATTATTAACAATACGTACAGCAAGAATATCCTTGTTTACAGTCAGCGCAAGTATCTCCTTCATAGCCAGTAGCACAATCGCATGTATAATTAGAAGGAGCTGAAACAAGTGTACAACTACCTCCATTCTGACAGGGACTTAGTAGACAGATATTTGATAGAGAGCAAGTGCAGGTTGCAGTATCAATTGCATAACCTGCCTCACAGTGTAGACAACACACTACAGAAAGTAAAAATTGTACTCGAACACACAATATTATTAAATTTAGAAGGAAAACCAATAAAATTTTAAATAAGCTATAAAGCACTTGGGAAAAGCCAAGGTAGATCTATACTATAGGTCATACCCTACTTTCTATGATAATTTATGAACCAATAACACTTGTAGGGTGCTTTATCATGCAACTTTGCACAGGCCAATAAAACTAAAGTGCACATGCATAGTAATACATTTTACATGTACCTTCAAAAGGTTTCATGTCTAATGTTCCAGAATAAGAATAGCCAACAAATTGTTGCAAACCGTACACCATTGCTAATATTTTGTCATTACTGTTGTTAGACCAAACTCTAATCTCACCACTTCCTGCACTTAAACTATAACTGTTAAATACATAAGAACCACCAACAGAAGTATTGTAATGCTTCCATGAGCTTGATGTGAGGGATGGAAGAACTGTACCATTCAGTTGTATTTTTGATGACTCATCTGCAGCAAGCACAATAAGGTTCACAGAAACAAAAGCACCCAATAGAGTAATGATAGGAAAACTAGTCCCAGAAGTGGCATATTGATGTAATGGAGGAATAATTGTCATAGCAGGATCACCATATGAAGTGAATGAAGCATCAGCAAATTGAGCCAGTGAGAACTGAGCTACAAGTATTGGACTAGTTGAATTAATGTAACAACTAGTTTGAGATATAGTTTGACTAAGTACACCACCTTCCTGAAGGGATAGTGAATAACTGTTACCATTATCACATAATATATTAACAGTTGTACTATTCTGTGATCCAATTAACTTCAATATGTAACCAGATTGACGATTATAAAATGACTGGACCAGGAACTCATTACCCCATGAGACAACTGGTGGAATTTGCTCACCAACAAAATCACAAGCAAATTGACCGACAGGAATAAAACCACACGTATGACCAGAATAGACAGATAATGGTTTATGGGACTCAACTTTTGTTCCTGTTAGATCAGCTAATGCTGCAACTGGTTTGAGTAAAAGTGTCTCCAGGTATTGTAATTGTATTGTTATTGATTGTCCAGCATTAAGAACTATCTGACGGCCTGATTGAGTGAGATTGGGTGGTATAGTAACAGTCACTGTTGGTGTGATTGTTATATTGGTATTATTATTACTAGAGACTATTAGAAGAGTTGAGAATGAGGTTGATTCATCTGTACCAATGGACATAGCATAATACACATAACTACATGCATTCACAGAATATACTGAGATTGGATAGTTAACATATACTCCAGTAGAATAATCTCCTAAATGACTCATTGCTACAGTTACAGATATTTTCTTCTCTGTTCCAGTTGTTACCAGTATACCTTTATACCGATCCAACTCACTACTAACATTATAAGCCAATAATGTACTCTCATCGATAGTCATTGGTGTACCAGGAGTAACTGAACCATGAGCTATAACCTCCTTAAGAGAACTAACAGTAAAATTCACTGTCTCTGTTTCAGGAGTTGTGATGACAAGTGAGATGTACTGGATAGTTAGCATCGGTAATAGTCCAACAATATGAGTATCTGCAGCTGTGCTCCAAACATCTGTGAGTGGAGGGGAGAAGAGAGGGAGAAAATAGAAGAAAAAATAAAGTGATAGAGAGGAGAATGATATAAGAAGATTAAAATGGCTTTTTGATAGCATAAAATTACAAAAACTGCACGTACAAATGTGTACATATCTTATTGGTGAGAACTAATTAGTCAATTCATCTGAGAGAGGACTTACATGTACATGTACACTAGTCTGGTGCTATGAGACTACATGCACACTAGGTAATTGATGAATTTTATACAATTGCAATATTGGAATATTAATTCCTCAACAATACATGGAAAACATTTTGTAAAGTATGTTCTCGTGTGTCAGTATATATACTTGAAATAATGATAACTACTAGAAGAACAACAAAGATTCCACCTCCTAGCCACATCCAGGCTTATGTCAGTGTACAAATTAATCATGCATAAAAACAGAATTACTTCATTTAGAGAAACAGTAGCATAAAACAAAGTGACATACATGCAACACTAGGTCTAGCAGAAGTCATAAAAATTGTGTTTGGGGCTAAAACATATGAGTGTATGATGACATTTTTATTACCATTGCAACATGCGTGTGTTATAATTATTTCTATAATCCATGGCTTTAATATTTTGTGGTTGTCAGTTTACAAGCCTGTTGGGAAATGGCACTTAAATGATTTTGTAGGTTTTAATTTTGTAGTATGCCTCAAAACCACAAAAACCAGAAAAATAAAACATCACATAAATAACTCATCATTGGTAAGGTCAGTAACAATTAAGACACCCACATTTTATGTGAAGTGGGTTTAGCCATGGCAATGGTGGCTTTAAAATTTTGAGTGCCTTAAACAGTAAAATAACCCTGAAATACTGTATAAAGACATCTCTAGAAGCATTATAAGGTAGATAGAACATCTATGAGTCTTAATGGAACCCAGCTACAATGTACATACATGTGGTAGGGATATTTTCAAACAAATATGCTGGATTATCATGCAGTCTAAAATTTCATGAATTTTATCAGGGTGCTTTGATATCAATAATAATTTATAGTCTGGGAATGAAATGACAAAATATTTTACCAAATGAAAACACAAAGAATTAGCACATTCCAATCATAAATTTGGCTAAATGGTGTCAATTAAAATCCATCGGATATTTAATACAGTACATATGGCCCAATACACATCATTACCAAACTATTATTTACAATTTTGATTAACACACAAAAACTATAGGGACTACGTCACAATCTTTTATAAAATTGCTGATTAATGCTACATGTACTAGATACTTCCATACATGTACTGTAGTAACGAGACACCTACGGTGCATGGCCTCGCCCCTATAGCTGCTATGGTGCATGCCCGCACTTCAATAACTGTTTGATTATCAGCATGAAGAGAGTCTGCTCAACACTAGCTTCCTACAGTTGCACTTGCTCTTGAATACCTGCAGAAGTAGCAACACTGCAGCACATACATGCAAGCAGCTCCAGCCCCTCCCATGCATGTAGATTGAAGGTGTGGCATTCCATGACTGGTATGAGTGGCAGCAAGAAGACCATGTGAGAAAGAAGCTTCACTTTTTCTTTACTAATCAGCAATATATGATAAACTTGCTGACAAAAAAAGTTGCTGCCTTTGTATATTTGAGATAGTATAGGTACTTTAGTACCTATAACCCAGCAAGTTGTTGCTCTAGCGCTGCACGAACGAGTGACCTCAACAATTTCAAGTAAGTATAACTCTTCATCAAGTAAGATTTAGAGAAATCTGTTCATAATTTTTGAAGGCCATGTTCTAATCTACTGAAAAATGCTACCAGCTATCTCTAAAGTGCTAACACAACGGAACTTGGCCCAACTACTCGATTTTCTTACTTTGAAGCTTCTGTACCTAGCACTTGTATTTGAGCAACACAAAACAGTTAAGAAAGACTTTTCCACGTCAAAAAGAAAGATCTAGGAGCTTAGAACACGCTGTGCTAAAGTTATTGTTTATTAAAAACAAATTTCAGTTGTACAGAATGAATGAATGAATGACAGACACACACAACAACAACCTATACCTCGCGTAGGCGAGGCCAATAAAGACTCATAATAACTTAATTAACCATACTGACTTGTTGTTGAAGGAGACTTTGCAGGTAGTACTGTTTGTGAAGCTGTAAATAATTGACGTCCTGCAGAGTAAGAAGTAAATGGCTGTTAACTTTTAAAATAATAATTATTTAATTACTTTGAGCTTCTAAAGCTAGCATATAAAACAGAGCTGCAATTCTTGCCCAATTCATCTAAATAATAATGAAACCACAAATAAAAATTACACAAAACTGTGCAGCTTAATAAAAGACAATTTGGGTGTCAGAGCTATGAAAAATTTGGCTGAAGTCAACTTAAAGCTGTTTTAGTTGTCAAAATGGCGAAAATTGTTTAATTTCCACGGAACTGATACGTAATTTGATTAGTAGATACCTTGTCCTTTACAAAATGTATTATCTTTATTGATACTTACTCTCTCTAGCTCTCTAGTCAATAAGCGAGCCGCCAAGAAATGCTACACAAGAGGAGAATACAACGAAGGAAAACTTGCCCGCGAACCGCAGCCACTCCTTCGAGTCATAGTACACGTGTCACCACGTGTGCAAGATCACGTGCCCACTGCCCAAATCAAATCATTAGTGAATTGAAAGTGTATGTCATGATATTTTCTGTGTTTTAATTCACTCTTTATTTCTCTTTTCCATAGGTCTTATAAATCAGAGTTTTCCTTGTTTGGTAACTCCTCATATGGTAAGCCTGCCTACCTACTACTGTTACTACGTTCATCATTTCATGAGTAAACTAGTCTAACTTGATTCACTGATTAAGGTAGGTAATTTCAATTTTTACATGCAGTGTATCACTAATCATACTTGTTAGTTTTAAATGCCAATGTGGCTGTGTCACTTAATTAGTCATAATTATTAAGACGCTTGGATTTTTAACCTTATCCGGTCAGTCGGGTGGCCAAACATCAAAATCTATTGCAAACCAGAAGTGACGTTTTTGTCAAAATGGCTGACTTTTGGTGTGGTAGTGCCTCTTCTCTATTTTGATTATTTATGTCAAAGCTAAGAAGTCTACAGTTGCTTTGATGTTCTCTGCACCTTTAGCATTGGATAAAGATGTAGATAACTGATCTTCTACATTTATAACCAAGAACTGTTCGTGTTTCAGGTGCTTGTTTCCACTGTAAGGATTAAAAATGGCTGACACAAAAATCATATTAAATTCTATAACTTGTAAAATAGAGCTAATGCAATCACACTTACAAGGTAGCTTATTAGTATTATAGATGCCTGTCATTTTGCAGAAGTTTCATTGCTGTAGGAGAAAAGGGAACATTTTTCTAACAAATGAAAGGTCCCAGCAAGTAGCCTAGCTATGTGTTTGTATGTGTGTAGCATTGTTGTATCAATGAGTATAGCTTGTATTTCTTGATATATATGTATATTGTAGTTATTGAAGTGGTTTTTAACTTTCTTTATACCTGTATTTGGCAGATATCTTGAGCTTTCATGACAGCCGCAATTTCAATTCACATTTGTACTCACTTGAACTGTGTTAAGTACCTGGTTGGCTATTTTGGCATTATAGATGAAGGTTATTGTGAGGATATAGACATTAGTTCCAATTATTTTCTTACTGGCTAAAGATATCATGATTTATTACAATTTTAATAATAAATTTTAATCAATTTAATTATACTTAACAATGAAAAAATTATAACTTCAGTATTCTTTGGAGTGCAATAATGAAACTTTGGTATGTGGTACTTAAAAGGTGTCTTTACAAGATAATTGTAGTTTATAAGTATTCCTTGTGTAGGAATATTTTTCTAACAAATAGAATTATTGTGTTCAAAATTAGCTGTAAGTTCCCCAAAAAACAGCCTAGCTTTGCTGTTTTCATAAATGATGTGCTCTATTGATCAAGCACTTTATCTCTCATTGTGGCAAGTCCACTGCTATGATAGTTCTCTGATTCTATTCAAGTTTCTATGTGTCTATGTACGCTATCACCCACCAGTTGCTCAATGAACGAGAAATAGGTTTATACACAATTTATATGGACTTCCAGTTGCTTGGCCACCCGACTGCAGTTATGCTATGATTAGATATCCAAAATATTATTTTTATGGTGCATAGGTTTAAAGACACAATAATGTTAAGGATTTTGGGAAAAAGAGGTATGATGTATAGACGTACTGTATTTCAGCTAGGTTAGTTGAACACACATGCAATATACATTTCATGCAACTATAATGCCAGTCATCACAGCTTGATGTCACCCCACCCTTATATGATTATATTTCTATTTGTATATACCCCTGATTTATCTCATGAGCACATTGAGTTTGAGAAAATTGAGTGAATGAGCATTTCATTTATTTGTTTGCCCAGCCTTAATGAATAGAGTTACAGAGCTATTACTTAAAGTATTCTTAATAATTGTTTAATAATTATAGATGCATTAGTGATTTGTCTTATTACAGACCTGTAAGTAGGTTAAACATAACACAACTGCTCTAATACACAATAACTACAGGTGTATCGTTATATTAATGTCTGAATAGGAAGCAACTACACAAGGAATATTGACATATTATGTGTCAATAGTTTGTGTGCAGTGGCCCCATTATTGTTTGCTCCAAAGAAATTTGCATCTGCTACCAAATTACATTTTAATTGAAATTTATCACTATATAAACAGATTCTTTGTTACATAAACTAATGGCATATGTCCTTGCATGTTATTGTCTTCCATGATGTGGCGCAATAAATATACCTTAAATGGCAAAAATGTATCATTTTAGGCCTTGAAAGTGTTATGGCTTTACAAGGATAATGCATAGTAAGTACTTTGAGTGTTTTCAAAGATTATACATGTATGTACTATGTAATAAAATTACATGCACATAAGAAAATAAGTGCATGTATGTATATACTGTAGACTGTAGTACACACTATACACTGTACATACTGTACACAATTACTCATACATGTAGATACGGATGAATTGAGTTTGACAGTATATTGTGCTTATAGTAGACTAATATACTAATAATGATGTTCTTTGTTATTTTTCTCTGTGTATTTATGATACATTTTTTGTAACAATTATGTTAGAGATTATGTATAAACTATAATGTAACTGGGTGTATTATTATAGTATTTCTATTGCAGATACCTCACATTATTATGTGTGGGGATAGGGGCCAGAGGGCAATGGCCACCCAATAACAAATCCTTTTAATGTGACATGATTGTAAATGTACATGTACCTTTGCTGTTGTGGCGAACTGGTAAGCTTTCATTCTACTTTTCGTACACACCCTTTACATGTACACATACATCTCTCAGTCATAGTGTCTTTAATTATCAAGCAAAATCATTTTATTTTTGTGTGGCTCAAACCAATGCCTACAAAATTTTTCTGCAGTAATAATTATGGCAATAATAATCAGTCATCAATTTTGCTATAATACACTCAAAAATACAATTAATGATAATTTTGTTATTAATTCCATCATGTTTTTCTGACATGTAGATTGTGATTCTGTAAGGATATACTATGAAAACTTAGTGGTGTCAATAAACAATAAAGAACCAAGTGGCAACAACAAGATCACAGGGTAATTGTTATCTTATTTTACTATTATTGCTTTCAATTTATTAAGTAAGCATAATAATTAATGTTTTTGACAATATTTACTTGTATTGATCTGATCTCAGATGGGATTAGTAGAGTATGTTAGAGTTTATTGTGTCAACAGTCCGTGTGCATTTATGTTTGTTTAGCCCAGTAGTGTTTGTTCTAAGACGGTTCTAAGAGAAATTTTGTATCTGTTGTTGCATGTTGCCAAAGGATATTTTATGTTCAGATTATCACAGTATAAATGTTATGTAAACTAATGGCATATGTTATTGTCGCTTACGATGTGGTACAATATTTAAGCTGCTATAGTTGAAACGACAGTAACATTTTAAAGCTTGGCCTTGGAAAGAATTATGATGCTGTTTAAAGTTCTACTTTGCTTTACTTTGATGCTCATTAGCTACAATGCAGAGGGTTTTTATGCAGACAGCAGCATGGAGGATTATATTGGGGACCTGAAGGATGATGCTGTGCTTGATGACGAACTTGCAGAAGCTTCAGATGCTGTTGGAGCCAGTTCAGAGGAAGTGATTTACAATGCAACTGCTGCAAACATTTGGTATCAGAATAGGCATGGAGCTAATTCACAGAGATTCATTTGCACTATTGGCCCACAAATTAAAAAATTTTGTGGCTTTAAGTATCCTCTTAATATTCGTATAACTGAAAAGGGCAGAGTGTATGTGACAGAATATGGGACTAATTATATTCATATACTGAACTTGGGTGGGAATCGTATTAAAAAGTTTGCAATTCCTAGAGGCCATCCAACTGGGATGTTCATTAGAGGAAACATTATGTATGTCACAAATCATAAAGACGAAGTGTTAAAATTTATACTAAATGGTCAATACCTTGGAATGCATTATATCACAAAAGCTGTGACAATTTCAGTTGCTTTGGACTATGATGACTTAATGTATGTCTCTAATTGGCATTCTCGTAGCATACATGTGTCTCATAGAGATGGTACTGCCTCTCATGTCATTTCATACTCTGGAATGTATCCGCGTAAACTTCATTTCAATGGGAATGCTCTTTATGTTTCTGACCATTATAAGAAGGCTCTTTACGTTTTTAATAAATATGGTAAACTTATACGTAGAATATCAGTACCTACGAAACTTACAGAAGGGTTTACAATGGACAGAGCTGGTAACCTTTTTGTATCTGATCGTACTAAGAATGCTGGGAAACTTGTCATCTTGAATAATGCAGGAAAGGTACTGAAGACTATTGGGGGAATGGTTGGAGCTTCTGATGTTGCTATTGCTCCTGATGGAACAGTTTGGGTTGTTGATTTTGAAGGAGGTTGCCTGCTCCATTATTAAAAACTAACTCAAATATACCTAGTCAGCCAGTAGTAGAGATGTAGTGCATGCATTAATTATTTCTTCTTATTATTTCTTTGTAGCGATAGTTATTTGATTTTGTAGTTGTAAAATAAACATGATTATTATAACACTGCATGAGTTGATGTAGTATATTTAATCATCTGTATTCTTGATAATACCCATATCATAATAGCTACAAAAACAGTGATATACATGTACATGTACATGTATATACATGTATGTCTATGGCAAGTTGATCCAGCATTTAAACACACTGTGTGAGTGACATGATAATAAAGATACCTGCATGTTCTTTATAGATGGAGAACTGCTGTGCTTTCATTCATTCCACTTTCTTGTATAATTGTAGCACACACCCTTGGTCATAATGTCATTAACAAGTAAAAGCATTTTATTCATTGCATGGCTTGAAACAAATACCCACAAAAATTTTCTCCTATAATATGGCGATGGTATAATTATCATTGCCACAATTATAGTAAGGGTATTTAATTCAGTTTATTGTTATTGATTTCATCATGTTTTTAATGGCATGTAGATTGTGTTTCTGTAAAGATATACTATGAAAACTTGGTGGTGTCAATAAACAATGAAGAACCAAGTGACAACAACAAGATGACAGGGTAATTGTTATCTTATTTTACTATTATTGCTTTCAATATTATTAGTAAACATAATAATTCATGATTTTTGACTGTGTTTACTTTTAATCTATCCCAGATGTGATTAGTGGAGTATTTTGAGAGTTTATTGTGTCAAAAGTCTGTGTGCATTTATGTTGTTTAGCCAAGTAGTGTTTGTTCTAAGACGATTAGAAAAATATTTACATTTTGTATCTGTTGCTGCAGTTTGCCAATTTAAATTATCACTCTATAAATAGATTATTTAATATGTAACTAATGGCATTCGTACATGTACTGTAATTTGTGTCCATGATGTGGGATGATATTTAAACAGCTATACATGTAAATTGTAGTTAACAACAGTACTGGTATCATTTTTTAAATTGGCCATAGAGAGCAAGTCTGACTTTGGACTTTTGTGTGAATATTGAGCAACTTAAAAAAATTTTTTTAAATCCAATTTTGATTAAAATCAGCTCAAAGTTTTGACATAACATTATATGTACTTAAATGTATATGTATTAAGAAAAATATAAAAATTTAGAATTTTTTTCTAGCCATGTTTGACAAAATTTGGCCAAGAATCTGTACTATAGTGCAGGGACTTTTGCCCAATTTTGAGCAAGAAGTCATAAAAATTCAATTTTTATTGGAATCAGCTGAAACTTGTTATACATTATAAGTACATGTATACATGTATGTATCAAGAAAAAGTATTAAAATGCAGAATTTTTTCCTAGCCATTTTTGACATAATTTGGCTTAAGACACTGTGCAGGGGCTTTGGCCACTTTTTCATGGCTCAAAGCAAATACCTACAAAAATTTCTCGCTGTAATAATTATGGCAATGATAATCAACAATCATCAATGCTGCTGTAATATCACTATAAATATTTTTATTGCTTGCGTCATGCTTTTACTGCCATGTAGGTTGTGTTTCTGTAATAGACTCGCATAGCCAGACCCACCCTTTGGTCCTCTGGGATGTTATGAAACTTTGTGGTGTTGCAATGAAGAACCAATTAATAACAACAAAAAGATCACAGGGTAATTGTTATCGTATTTTACTATTATTGCTTTCAATAATTATAATTAAGTAAGCATAATAATTGTTTTTGGACAGTACTTACTTGTATTGATCTCTGATGTCATTAGTGCAGTATTTTGAGAGTTTATTGTGTCAAAAATCCAAGTTTGTTTAGCCCAGTAGTGTTTGTTCTAGTGTTTAGATTGTCATAGTTTAAACAGATTCTTTGTTATGTAAACGAATAGCATATGCTATTGTCATCCACAATGGGCACAATATTTAAGTGGCTCTTGTTGAAACAACAGTATCATTTTAAACCTTGTCCCTGGAAAGCGTTATGATGCTGTTTAAAGTTCTACTTTGCTTTACTTTGATGCTCGTTTGCTACAATGTAGAGGGTTTTTATGCAGACAATGGCATGGAGGATTATATTGGGGACCTGAAGGATAATGCTGTGCTTGATGAAGAACTTGCAGAAGCTACTGATACACTCAGAGCCAGTTCAGAGGAAGTGATTTACAATGCAACTGCTGCAAACATTTGGTATCGGAATAGGCACGGAGCTAATTCAGAAAGATTCATTTGCACTGTTGGCCCACAAATAAGGAAAATTTGTGGCTTTAAGTATCCTTTTAATATTCGTATAACTGAAAAGGGCAGAGTGTATGTAACAGAATACGGGACTAATTATATTCATATACTAAACTTGGCTGGTACTCATATTAAAAAGTTTGCAGTTCCCAAGGGTCATCCAACTGGAGTGTTCACTAGAGGGAATATTGTATACGTGACAAACACTGCAGATGAAGTGTATAAATATACACTTAATGGAGAGTATCTTGAAGCGAAGTATTTGAAGGGAGCTGTGCCCATTTCAATTGCTTTAGACTATGATGACTTAATGTATGTATGCAAGTGGCATTCTCGTAATATACAAGTGTTTCATAGAGATGGTACTGCCTCTCATGTCATCTCATACTCTGGAATGCGTCCACGCATACTTCATTTTGATGAGAGTGACAATCTTTATGTTTCTGACCATTATAAGAAGGTTCTGTATGTTTTCAATAAATATGGTAAATTTTTACGCAAAGTATCAGTACCCTCAAAACTTACTGATGGGTTTGCAATGGACAGAGCTGGTAACATTTTTGTACCTGATCGTACTAAGAATGCTGGAAAACTTTTCATCTTGAATAATGCAGGAAAGGTACTGAAGACTATTGGGGGAATGGTTGGTGCTTCTGATGTTGCTATTGCTCCTGATGGAACAGTTTGGGTTGTTGATTTTGAAGGAGGTTGCCTGCTTCATTATTAATGACTAACTCACGTCAGCCAGTAGTAGAGATGTAGTGCATGCATTAATTATTTATTCTTATTATTTTTGTAGCGATATTTATTTGATTCTTGTAGTTTTAAAATAAACATGATTATTATAACACTGTGTGGGTTGATGTGGTTTATTTAATTAAAAAGTCTAAAATAGCAAAATCACACTGCAGCAAAAAAGGATCAATTAAAATTGTAGCAATGTAAAGGTAGCAGCCATAATTAACAGCATAAACTCTTAGCATTGATATTTTTACACTCAGTTAAGTTTTGTCAAGGATCTAAAATTTGTAGTTCATCTCTGAAGTTGACATCATCATCAGTATCATCTGTTTTCTTAATAATATCCATATCATAATAGCTTGTTGATGCTACATAAGACTCTGTGGAAGGTTCACGAGAACTCTCCATATTCAAAGAATGAGAATTGCTAAACTTAAAGCTAGTAAGAAATGATTTTCTGGAATTGGTATCATGATGGTTTTGTTTGCAGTACTTCTTTAAAGCCAGGCTACAAAAGAGGAAGATGAAGATGAAGATAGGAAGATAAACAAAGAACAGTTGAATGTATCCTGTTAATATCATCACATTACGCTCAGACTGTGAAATGGATTCAACATAACGGATCAATGTTAGAATATTTATCATTCCAAGGAGGAGGAACAAGCATCCGTCAATGTTGTTATGAAATTTTTTTCTGTATGGCTGAAACTTTAAATGAACTGCTGTCATTATCATGACTACGACCTGTGCTATGGCTAGTGAAGCTAGTGGTACATCAATGAGGGAGAATGCACAGACAAAGATGATACGATAAAGGAAGTACAGTCCAGCAAAGAAGCGACACTTGTCATCAAAGCAACATTGGATCCATC